CGGCTAAGTCAAAAGTAGAGCTTTCATTGAATTTTAAATTAAGTCAATAAAATTTAATTTGACTCCATTAAGTCACTTGATATCAATTTATTCAACTGATCACTAAACTTCAATTTAATCTTTAATTTTAAAACTCTATAATAGGTTTTCTTTCAAATTGATGAACAGATTTCCGGTGCCACCACAAAAAGACGCACTATATCAAAAAGTGTTAAAATGAAATAAATACACATTTTAACCTTTTAATCCAATATTGTCACAACCTTGATTTTACCGTTTTCTTACTAAAAGTTGCATTTGATAAATTAGACATTTATTGTATGACTATCAATAAGGGATGGCAATTCGAACCGTCAAAATCGAAAATCACGGTTGACCAAGTCGAACGGAGCGAAAAAAATCGAGCTGATAGTGCAATGAGGTAGGTATAATATTTGATTTTAATTACCCAATTTGGGCGGGCAGGGTATGGTATTTACGCCGTTGACCTGCCCCAAAACTATTGCCCGTTAATTTTTATTTTTTTTAAAGTACCTATTAAAAAAATAATAATTGGGCAATTAGGTTTCCATTATTCTTAAAGGTTGAACCCCAACCTTGAGGGCCCCCACCTCCTGGTCCCTAGAGTTTTGTGAGGGAGGTAAATCGCGGGATGTGTCCCAACAGGCCAAGGAATAAGAGCTGTCTGTACACTGCGCCTACAAGAAGTCCAATTTCATGTCTCAGGAATTGAACCCACATATTGCAGTTGCCAACAAGATGTGAGATTATTCTTTCTATCAAAGAAGATTGAATATGAATTGAGGTTGGAGCTTTTAAGTTATTGAGTAGGAATCAAGTTCGATGCATAAGGATTAATGGATAACGATATTGTTTAGTATTGTTATATTGATGATATTGTTTATTAAATTCGAATTTTTTATTTGAGAATTGGGATATTGTTTGCAATTTCATTTGGGATATTATTTGCTAAATTAACTTAGTATTGTGTTTTTTATTTATTTGTGTGGTAGATGAGATTTTGAAAATGTATCAATTGTGAATTGTGATATTAAAAATTAATTTGAGTATTGTGAAATGTGAGTATGTGATATGTGAAAATTGGAAATGAGAAATTGGGAAATTTATGATTTGTGATAAAGTGGTTTGGAAATTGAAAATTGAACCTTTAATTATATTTTGAAAAGTAATTTTAATTATAATATAGATTGTGGAATTTTTTTTCAATCGATGTCCCAACCTAGTTTTTATAGTGGTGCATCTAATCCCATAACCAGGGGTGGAGCCCCATTAGGTCCAGTGCGGGCAGATGCCCGCACTGACCTTTTGGGCTCCACTAGGCCCAAATTAATTTTTTTTTTGGATAAAGCCTGGATCAATGAAAAAAGCCCAATTGCCTACAGTCCATGCCCGTTTACTGACCCGGACCCGGTTTCGTTCAAATCAAAACCGAACCCTTGGTTGACTTGAGCTTGAATCGTCTCTCTCTCTCTCTCGACCGTTCGACCCATCGCCTGCTTCTCACAATCTCGCCAGTCGCCACTCCAGCTCGAAGTCGCCGACTTCTAGAATGTAGTTCCAGTCCACCGCCAGCTGCCGCGGCCACCGCCTGCCAGTCCAAGCTGCCCAACAAAAGAAGAAGTGTCATACTGATACTGAATCACTGATTCACTGGAGAGTGGAGATTGGAGAAGCCCGAAGCAGCCGGAGCCCAGAAGAACGAAGAAGGTGATTTCGATTTCGATTTAATTTTCAATTTCACACTATATGAAAAACACATATACCCAAATCGTGCCTGCTGTTCTGTGATTTCCAATTGGGAATTTTCAGTGAGACAAAAAGGATTTCTGGACTATTTCTTGTTATAATATATACTTGTGTTGTGTATTAGTGTATAATGGGATGATGACATTCTTGCTTAGTTGCTTAAGCTCTGTTTTAGAGAAAAAAGTGATTGATATGTTCTCTAAACTTGAATTAGGGTGTCCAAACTTATCAACACTCCTATGGATATTAGATACATTTGTCTCAGAGGTAATGGAATCAGATTTTCATTCAAGAAAGCTAATGGATTTCGAGAAAATTGTGTGTCATCGTTAATCAATCATTTATATCAGAATAGCATCTATCATTAATCTACCTTTCTTTTTGCTGCAGTTTATTGTAGTTTCTTTGAAGGAAGGCATGTTTAACAATGCCAATGTTCTTTTCCGAACAAAATTTGTGGACAATGTTCTTTTACGAACAAAATTTAAGCAAAACAAGTGATTTCAGTTAACTGGTGAGATTATTGATAATATCTGGGTAATACTAATTATATGTAAAGTACTCAATCATGCTTCAGAATCCTAATCTCATAGTATCTTTGAGCATTAATAGACAATTAGATATAGCTTGTGACTCATGATGTGTTTTCAAGTAATGTCGTACTGTGTTAGGTAGCAACGTGGTTGTTCAGTTTAATGAATCTTGGTCTCAAATATAGTGACAAACGGAGCAAGTTTTTATACTGGAATAAGTACCATCTCGCATTCATGAATTGCAGATTAGGCACGTATATTATTCGGGCTTGACAAGTCATCCAGAACATCACATTGCAAAGAAGCAAATGAATGGTTTTGGTGGTGTGGTTAGTTTTGAGGTTAGTGTTAAATTACTGAACTAAATTCCAATATATATTTCTGTTCTGACAATTTCTCTGAAACTTTAACATTTTGAATTTTGATTAGGTTGATAGAGATCTATAGAGAACTGCAAAATTTGTTGATGCACTAAAGATTCCATATATAGCTCCATCCTTTGGAGGCGGTGAAAGCATTGTTGATCAACCAGCGATCATGTCTTACTGGTATGTCTTTTTCTGTTATGGAGCTGGGTGATTAATATTTTTGCATTTTGAAATGTGATAAGCGAGTAGGATACTTTTCTAAAATGTCCCATATGGCCCAGATATTTCATAACACGTTTCATTAGAAAGAAATGGACATAGCATGACTACTTATCCAGCATTTTGTTAGAGGATGACCTGAGCTGTCTTGTTTAGAATAGCAAAAAGGAGGATTTTGGATACTATATGTATTTGTAGACGCATTTAATAAATGCAATGCTGTACACATTGTTCCACCAAAACCTCGAAGTTCGAATTTGAAAAATGATGCCCACACTGAATATAAATCCTGGCTCCGCCCCTGCTCATAACTACTTCTAATCAAGCAAATAATTTATTAAGCATTGATAACACAAATAAGTCTCATGTATAATGCATTTATTCTATGTTATTTTGGATTGTATTGTACTGTAATTTAATATGAATATACGATTTTTACGATTTAGTATATCTACATATAGATAGAATAATTTTTAATGTTATTTAATTTGAAATTAATAAATGACATCGCTATACGGTTATTGACTGTTGACGGTTAATGATCAACGACCATCTTAGTTGGGTCGAAATTCTGGATTTGCCTTTATTCGTGGCTATTAATGTCTGAAACGAACTGAATCGACTTACGTGGGTATGGTGCGGTTATGATATGACCAAAAAATTAGTGATTCGATGATGATTTTTGCCGAACAGAACCGTTGCCAACCCTAATTCAATTAAACAATTTACGTCATCTTGAATGAAGATATTTGATGAAATTTTAACATTTGAAATTAAAATGAAGTTCACTAACTTTATCGAGAAGTGAAGTAAGTTAGTCCCTGTTTGTTATTAATTTCTTAAAATTTATTTTTCTTCGGAATTTAATCAAGTTTTGAACTACATATTTTATTAATTTGTAATCAAACCAAACATAGCCTTAAATTTTATTCAAGGTTCAGTGAGTGCAGAAGAAATCCAAAGTCCGCACATATTCCCCTGCAGCTATAGATGGCCCCACCAAAAGAGGCTGCCGGTGGCACCCCAAGTCTCCACCGTGGGCCCACCGCGGTGTCGCCGCACCATCTCCTACGCGCTTTAAGATATACATTAGAAAAATAGTAAATATATTTGGTGGATTCAATGGACGGCAAAGTATTAACTAATAAAGTAGTAACACGTGCCCTCCACCGTAGTCACAACATGTACCAAAAAAACACGGTTTTTTTAACGATGGGACCCATGTTTAGGATGCTGTCGGTGACATTGAGTACACTTGATTTTCTTTGCTTTTACTCTTTGACCACAATAATGCTTTCATTGCCTAATTAAATTTTTATTTTTCTCTTCTATTATTCGATCTAAATCGAGGTTTAGTCCCGTTTGACGATTATTATTTGAATTTTTTTTACATATTTATTTTTAATCACATATTTACAAAATAAAATATTTTATACGTAAATTAAATCACATATTTTTCTAAAAATTACTGTTCAAAATATTATTTAGACTTAAATAATACCATCAAACAGGGGCTAATTATATAATTTAACCATAGTCTCACCTAATTCTAACAATGACACATAATCTTTTAATTGTAAATGAAAATATTTTATTTCAAAAGTAATGTAAAATGAGAATGGTACTTTAGGTTATTTTAGGCCATATTGATATGATGTTTCTATATTCTTTTATGTAGTTTATTGAATCAAGAATTTTAAGTTGATTAAATTTGAAGAGGGCTCTCGACTAGCTGATTTCTTTGTTTTGAATTCTAATCCTGAAAGTATCCTCCTAGAAAAGTTGAGTGAAATATGTAAATTCATATCAAACGCACGAAATTTAATATTTTCAACCTAGATGTTATATCGTCAAAATTTTGTAGGTGAAAAATGAGGAAATAGCCGGACAAGAACAATATATCTCTACTGGTCCATTACTGCATTTATTTATTATTATTTTTTGTAATAATTTATTTTATGTTTCATATACGGAGACTTTGACTCTTATGAGAATGGCAATTGGCAAGCTAAAATTAAGAAGTATGATTATTGATTCATGATCTTTTTAATTATATTAATTTTCTTCACTTTTAAACACATAAGTAAACGGACAAAACTATAACTCCAGAATATAACCAAAAGCAAGTTAATTTAAATATTGCATTGAATCAGAAGCCCTAATTGCCGATTACAATTGTGATAAACAATCAGAGAAATTAGAAGTCTCTGATAATTAAAAACACAATAATATTTTTATGTATTTACAATCAAAAGTCAGTCTCTTTCACTGTGAAGATTCAAGCTTCATCCATGGCAGGTGGTAGATTAAGATCAAAATCCAAAACTCTCTTTGTATATATCTGATTCTCATCAACAACAGAAGAAGAATCAGAATCACTCTGAGCGCCGCCGTCGCCGCTCTTGGGAAAGTGAACCGCCGCCGTATTCAGCCGGTATTCTGGCGGAGGATCGAAGTACAGAACCGGACGTCCAGTGGGCGAAACCGCCATGGCTGGCTGGTAATGAAAAAACTGATACCCATTCACAGCAGTAGCGGTGGAATTTACTCCAAGGAGGCGCGTGAGGTCAAGCTCAACCGGCGGTTGAGTATTGATTGCTATGACGCTTGATGACTCCACGGTGCTGCTCTGGCTAGGGCTGTGGACATCCGAAGGTAAAGGGAAGTTAGTTTTAGCTTTAGACCCACGGAACTCACGAGCGGCGGCGTCGTATGCACGAGCCGCCTCCTCCGCCGTGTCGAACGTTCCCAACCATACACGGCTCTTCTTCCCGGGATCTCGAATCTCCGCCGCGTAACGGCCCCAAGGCCTCTTCCTCACGCCCCTGTAGTGCACCTCCTTAACGCCATTAAAAGCCTTATTAGCCTTATCCTTAACTCCATTAACAGCCTTATTTGTCTTCTCCTTCGCCGCCATGAAGAATTCTTAAAATCTCACTCAAATTGCTGTGAAACTGAAGAGAAAATTTTTAGTGGTGAAAATGGGTTACAGATTGAGAGAAAATGGAAGTGGATATATAGGAGAGAGGATAGAGGAGAGAGAAAGTGGATTCAACGAGGGGGGTTTGACTAGGGGCGCCGCCCAAGTGAAGAGAGATAAATTGCGTGGCTGCGCGTAGTGTATTGAGAATCGTGGGTTGTGGGCCTGAAATAGGGGCACGTGGCGCGTTTAGGGCGTCGATGCGCCGGCAACTGTGTTATTTCGCCCCATATTCCTCGCACACTGCACCGTGTGACCTTTATGGGTTCGGTTTCACACTGCCTCTGTTTGGTGAGGAATTATAATTAAAAATTTAATTTGACTTAAATCAACAATTTATTTTAACAGTATATTTCATGAGCTGTACAATTTATTTTAACAGTATATTCTTCCAATTTTTATTAAAAAAAAATTGCAATCCTCACCAAAAGGGTCTATTAATTAATTGTACATGATTAAGGCCAAATTGACCTTCTATAATGGATACGATACTTCATTAAAATGTTTTAGAGAAAATTGGGCTAGATTTTTCAATCTTTGTAATAACTTAGTTTAGTATCATTTATATTTTCAAGAATGAGGTTGTTAAATCCATAAATCTAGTTATTTTACTTGGATCATGTTTGGTAATATTTTTAATCCAATTAAAATTAATTTTTTGACCATTATTTCACTATTTTAATCGTCATTTTTGAATTCTTCTCTTACAGGTAGGACCCAATTTATTTCTAACTATAAAAAAATTAATTAACAAAATTTCTACCAAATAAGCGCTTAATGAAGATAGATAGTGCAAGTTATAAAATCTATTATATAATTACTCTGAACGCTTGTAATAGAAGTTTTCTCTAAATTCAATAATGAAATTTCAAAACTTAAAGATAAATGTTTAGTAGTGGATGGTTTTGTAAGTCACATGAAAATCTCGTGTGATTCTAATTTTATATGGCCTCCATTTTGTGAAAATGAAAATGGGTAAAATGGTATTTTTTCGAAAAATGAGTGTTTGAATAAGAAAGAAAAAATTTCGATTAACGTGTAATATTATTTTATGGAAGATTGTGTGGTTGAAAAGAGGAGAGAGAAAAATGAAATGTAATGGAATGAAAATCAATTGGCCAAACGAGGGCATGGTCTTTTCATTACCAAGTAGTTACCTTCATTGAAAATCGGATGCAATTTTAATGCATCACACGAGGACATATTAATTTTTAACAATAATATGCTCGGCTCAATAACTTTAAATACCTTAGCGTGATGTTAGACATTAATTAAACTTGGTACAAATTAATATAGAATCCTAGTTTTTAACGTAAACTATAAGTAGGGTAGGAGTTGTTCAAACATACGTATACGGCACAGCACAGACATAGAACCAGCCAGCCGGCCGCCGACTATTTAGTTTAGTAGTATTACTGACAATACTATTATTATTGTAATAAAAAGAGGTATCGCATTTGTCTCTCCCTCGCTTTATCCGACAATTTATTAAACGTTAATGGCTCCAAATCTACGCGTCTGCCTAACAAACCAGTGTCGTGCGTCACTTTCTTTTCCTTATCTTTTGCGAACCGTTAAGATTCTAATAGAGTGCGTTCGGTAGAGAAATAAAGGTTGATCCAAAAAGAAAATTATTTTCGTTCCTTGTTCACGGTTATCGTAAAATTTTAAACGAACATCACTTCTTTCTTTAATGTTTCTCACATTAATCAAAGTTGAATGTACATTGCATGTTATTTTAAAATACTTTTTAAGTGATGTAATATTAAAATTTGGTACTAATTTGTTGGAGGATTTGATAAGTCTCGAACAAATTAAAAAAAATAAATTTTAGCATAGAAATTTAAGAGAAGAAAATCGTACTCTTAAAACTTAATTTCTATGATTCAAATTTTTTATAATAACTAAATTACTATAAATAAGCAATCTTTTTATATTACATTTGATACATAAAAATTACTTATTAATACATAAATTAAAAACATCTATGAAAATTTTTAGATACATGAATATGAATAAATTCATCTATAATGACTCTATATTTATGTAATTCAAGATTCATCAAGTGAAAATCCATTTAATCTAGATTAATGTGAATGTTAATTAATTGAGAATCAATAACACAAATTTCATAAATGAAAATAATTATGTAGTATTTATTACATATCAAAAAACGAAAAATAAGGTATTATTGAAATAATTGAATTGTATGAAGATTAAGGTCTCGTTTGGGAGGGATTTTGAGAATTGATTTTTTGACCGTTAGAAGAAAAGTGAAGTCCACATGTGAAAGAAGAAGTCAAAAATTACGGTTGGAATAGTAAAATAACGTTCAAAAAATTAATTTTTTGGGATAAAAAATCCCTCCCCAATAGACCCTAAAATCGTCCAAAAAAATGATTCTCTCTTAATGTGATATATTAATATACTAGTCATTTGCCCTTGCAATGCACGAATTAGGTTATTTTAAAGGTAATGCCAGTGTGTTAAATGTGTTGGATTTCCTTAAATGACATCCTGCACTCAATGTTTTATGGCCACACCAGGATGGACTTTTCTTTATACAGCATACAATCATATGTCAAAGATCAATGAACATCATTTGAAAATCTCAAATCATAGTATCGGTACATATTAATATATAAAATAATAATAAATTTGACGTCTCTTAGTGTATTAATACAACTATTAGAACAAAGATCAAATTTTAGGCCAGTGCATTGATTAAATAATTTCTAGGGTTCTAAAGTGAAAATGTTGAATTTATTTTAAAAAGATTTTCAAACGAACGAATAGATTACCATATAAGTGCTGATCTTTCTTGGTCCAGTGGCATATGCAAGTATTGGCTGGCTAGGGTGGCCGCCCTAGCTAGATCCACCGAGAACAAATTTTTTTTGTTGTACAACAGCTAAATTAATTATCTTATATAACCCCCGTTTGTTTCTCATTTTTGGAAGAATGAGAATGAAAAATATAGTCGTTACGGGGCCTCACACAAGAGATAGAAATTCAAATTTGGTGACTTGATATGATGAATAACGATCATATTTTTTATTTTAATGAGAAAAAAATGATAACCAAATAGGGGCATAAATGATAATTCATTTTATGTATGAACATCTACATAGCTGAGTTGGTTGGAGCTATCGTAATCAAATTAGAGCTCATGGGTCCGAAACACTTCCAAAGCAATTTGTATTGCAAATTTTCTAATTCAACAATTTTTACCAAAAGTGATGCAAAGGAAGCGATTCGAACCTGGAACCTTCTTTAAGATTGTTGAGGACTTGACCAGTGTGACACTATACAGATCTCATTGAACATCGACCATAAAGGTGCCAGATCTATCGAATGTTAGAGCTTTCACAGTTGGTATTGCATTATCCTTGTGGAACACAATGGTGCTCTCTTGATTATCTAACCCTCCGTTTTGAGTTTTGAAGAGGATCTTTTTTTACGATAAAGCAACGAGAAATGGAAAACCCTCATTTCCCTAATGATCTTATTGCCTGCACCAACCAATAAGATATATCATAATACAGAGAAAGCGTTTTATTAATCAAACACCATGTATGGTCTTTTCAGTTCTTTCGTTAGGTCAAAGAATAACTCTATCTATTCACTCTTTATACCCTTTGGACCCAACAAATGCATTCCTTCAATTTCTCAAGTAAATTGCTTTATGTTATCATATTTATTTGATATGAGAATTATCCCTTAAGATGCCCTCACAAGATAGTGGCTCGTTTGAGCAAATCAATCTTGAAATCTACGTGCCTATTTTTTTGAGTCTTAGTCCTCTTTTGAGTTTAGTGTACTCTAATACAATATAAAGATTTGAGGTTTCATTTTAAAATATCAAACCTTATTAAAAAGAGTTATGAATTGGTCTATGTTATCGTCTTTATTCGATGTGAGAATTGTAACAACTTAGACCTCTCGCTCAAGTCGTTAGCTTACGTATGTCCGCTTTGGGTGGGTCTTGCGCCCACTTATCCCTCACGGCTTTATGTCGCAAGGCCCATCCAAAGCGGATAGTACGTAAACTAACGGTTTGGGAGTGTTTTTTTTTTCTAACGACTCGGACCTTTAGCTCAAGTGCCCAATTGGTATCAAGATTCAATTTAAATCTCATTTAAAGGAAATGTTATAGTCCAGGTCATTACAAAAAAGAAACACGCGTTTTTTTTAATGACCCGGACCTCTCGCCCAAGTCGTTAGCTTACGTAACCAGGATTCGACTTAAGTCTTACTTAAGGGAAATGTTATGAGTTCGAATCCTGGAGGACGCGACAAAAAGCCGTGAAGGGTAAGTGGGCGCAAGACCCACCCAAAACGGACAGTACGTAAGCTAACGATTTGGGCGAGAGGTTCGGGTCGTTACAAGAATTATCCCTTATCATGGTGGCTATGGACCAATTTCTTTAGGGATGGCATCATGGAACCAAGGCAAGGCCCTTTTCATCCTTCACGTAGTTGGAGATTTTCGGGGGACGGGTGAGAAAGTGGTTGAAATATTTTATTTTCGTTCCTTTTATTTATTTATATTTAATGTGAATTAAGTTTAAAATTATATTAATAAAATAAAAAATAAGATTCAAAATATAGATCGCATTTCCCGCTTTTGCCTTGATTTCTCAGTTGTGCAAGAGCACGGGCATTTTGCCAACCTTACAGGTCACATTTGCCCATCTTTTTTTGTAATCCCAAACTTGGCCTAATTGTGAGCCTTTTAAATGGTTTGATTTGAAAATAGGTTTAAAAAAATAAATAAATAAATCATGCGATACCATCTACAACTTATATATACAGAGTAATCACGTAATAAAAAAAAAGATATTTTAGAAAAAAAAAAAAACTCAACATTTTTATATACTTTTGAAGCATACTAAAATTATTTTAAGAGTGTAATTTGCACTATACTCTCCTGGGAGGTTGAGGGATTCCCAGTATATGAAGATATAAAGAAAAAGCCTGTATCATGTGTCGTCTCACCACTTTTATTTTGCAACCATGCTATTTGC